CACCAAGTCCTATGACTTGGTGAGGCCGACGAAGCACGCGAACACCGCAATGGTGTGCATCCATCGTTGTCTCTAGCAAGGACATCGGCACCACTCCTGAGAAAGGCCTTCATTTCCGCGCACCTGTGCTTCAAAGAGGCGATATGCAGGGAGGTATTGCCCATGTTGTCCCAGGCATCGATCGCAGCACCTCCATCAACGAGGGCGTCGACCGAGTTGTGCTCCTTCTTGTAGGTCAAGGTGGCCTCGTGGAGTGGAGTTCGGTCAGACACATTTCGAGCGTCCGTGTCCGCGCCGTGTTGGAGCAATTTCTCCACGACTTCGGACGAACGACGAGCAGCCACGCGCAGTGCGGTGGACCCCGCGTTGACGCGAAAATTGATGTCCACACCGTCGGCGAGAAATAGTTCTACGCGGGATACGTTACCCCCTTCCGCGGCCGCGTGAAGGCCACCACGGCCGTTGAACGCCAGCTTAGTGGGGTCGGCGTCATACTTCAGCAGGGCGAGGACGATTTCGTAGCACCCACGAGCAAGAGCACGGTGAAGAGGAGTACAGCCCTCGTCATCCTCGGCCTCGAGGTGGGCTCCTGCATCGATGAGTGCTTCAACTACGTCGACATTCTTGACAATTGTGTGCAAGGCGGTAGCACGGTTGGAGCAGATTCCCTTGACGTCGGCTCCGTATTGAATCAACACCTTCACCACGTCTAGTCTCGAACAACAAGCAGCCAGGTACAACGGAGAGTCAGCATCCATGCAGAGGTTAGGATTTGCGCCGCCAACCAAGAGGGCGGTCACAGCAGCGCAATGGCCTTCACATACTGCAAGGTGGAGCGGCGATTCTTTTTCGGTGTTGTAATGGTTGCCACCACCCCCGTGCCTCATGAGCGCCGTCAAAGCTTCCGCGCACCCTTGAGACGACGCGACATGCACAGGTGTCCAACTTTTTTGGGCCCTCGCGTCGACATTAGCACCGTCGGCTGAGAGAACCTCGATGATCCCGGCGTTGTTGTAGGAGGCAGCAGCGTGCATGTCCGTACGGCCATGTTTGTCCGTAGCTTTCAAGCTCGCCTGGTGCTGGACTAAAGCTGCCACAGTCTCAGCATGGCCCCCAACCGTGGCGAGGTCCAACTCGGCTTTTCCATCCTCGCCTCCTCGGAGGTTCGGCTGTACCCCATCGGCCAGGAGCACATGAACGATGGCAGTGCTGCCGCTCTCAGCCGCCAGGTGAAGAGCGGAGTACTGGTTACCGTTCATCTTGTTCGGGTCAGCTTTGTGCGCCAAGAGAATGACCACTGCGTTTAATGGCTCCAGCTTGGTCGCCAGGTGCAACGGTGTTTCACATGTTGCACCTCCCTGAGCGTCAACCTCAGCACCGGCACCTACAAGGGCATTGATTACAACCGTGTCCTCATTGGAGATAGCCAGATGCAGAGCAGTAAGGTCCGTCTTCTCATCCTCACCAGCACGAAGGTTTGGATGAGCACTCGCAGCTAGGAGTGAATATACCATGGCAACGGCGCTACTCTTAGCAGCCAGGTGGAGAGCGGAGAGTTGATCACCGTTCACTCTGTTTGCGTCTGCCCCGTGCCTCAACAGGGCAGCCATGGTATCGACTGAGGCAGACCTTACCGCCAAATGTAGCGGCGTGTCACCCCCGCAATCCTCCGCTCCGACGTCGGCCCCTGCCTCTACAAGTACATCGATCGTAGAAACGTGCGTGTAACAGCGTAATACCCGTAGCTCCAGCATCACTTTGGTCAATCCCGTGTTGGATCAACACGCGCATGACGTCCACATGACCAAAGTACGCTGCACGATCCATCGCCGATAGATCATCGTCGCCGAAGCGAAGGCTGAGATTCGCGTGGGCAGAAACCAGAGCTTCGACAGCAGCAAGAGAGCCTTGCTCAGCTTCCACATGAAGAGGCGCACTGTCCTCACCATCAAGCGCGTTGACTTCAGCCTCCTGGAGAAGAAGTAGCGTAAGGATGCTGTGATGACCTAGGCTGGCGGCGATATGGAGAGGAGTATCGCCGCTCTCGTCTGGCTCTCCTGGCGATGCCCCCAGCCTCAGCAGCTCAGCAGCTCCGCAACGACCGCCTCCTGACCTCGCCTCACCGCTGAGTGCACAGAAATGCCTCCTGCTCCCGCTTGGGCGAGCTGGACAATGAGATCAATCTTGCCCGCAGCGACAGCATGCTGAAACGGAGTCTGGAGCCACTCTGTCCACTGCTCTATGGAGGCCCCGGCACAGATGAGGTCGAATATGACTGCCTCTGCGCCGGTCAAGATGGCCCGAAGACTCTCTGTTGAAGAAGAAGAGGTACTCTCAGCCATTGGTCATCAAGAGGGGTGACACACGCTGGCACCGCGAATCACATGAGCAAAATCTTCTCGGGAGGAAGGACGGTCGTCTCTACACGGTGCTGTGCGCCAGCACCCCAGCAACCCCACTACCAAGCACTTGGACTAGATGTGATTTGGTGCAATCGGGCCGCTTTTCTTGGAACTGTGGAATTACCGGGTAATTACGGGTAAAAGTGTGGTATGGAACAGGGATGGTGTAAATTGAGTGCAGCCAAGCGTACTACTTGGAAAGAGAGAAGGTGAAAAAGGGCGGGAAATGTTGAAAGAGTGCTGCACTATCGAAGGATTGTGATGCGGATCGGTATATTCATCGGGGAATGAGTTTGAGATATTGGACAGGTCTTTTGAGCGGATTGGATAAAATCTTAGATTCTCGGAATGCAAGTATGGACTGTCAGCAGAGTTGAAGTTGAGACATGTGTGTGGACGAAGAGACACCCACACGAGGTCAGTCTGACCCACCAGGAGTCTTCTCCCTTGTTGTCTCGGTACGGTCAGAACTTCTAACAACACTACACTTTGATGGCAGCTCTACTAGACATTACCACGACAAGACCCATGGCATCAACACAAACACGTACGCGGAGGGAAACGCACCCCGATCCCCCGATATGATGCGGGGGGAGTTCTAGTGGACATTGTTGGCATATCTCTCATTTGAAAATACTGGTAGGGGATACAGCACGAACCATCCCCAAAGAACCGAGACGGCAAGGGTCCCTCCATGTGGAAACCGTGGACCCCCCCACCCTCCCAGGCCAAGATTGACACGTAGGATCGCCACTTAAGGCGGCTCACTTGCAGCAGTCTGTTATATTGGATTTTGTGTTTCGATAGTAAAACCAATATACTCTTCATTGAATAGACTCTCGTGCCGCATTCTAAAACCCTGAACACACTAGGCTTGTACCTAATGTGCAGGCATTGCTTTCGACATTAATGACCTTCGCGTGCATTAGGAAACGCATAATTTCGCCCGTGCATACTTTGTGCCCGCAGTTTTCTGATTGGCCAACATGGGCATACTATGCATAAGTGGTCATACTATGCATATGCAGCGTGGTTATGCTCGCTTCATTTTGGAGATAGGGGTGGATCAGCAGTGAGTCAGGCGCCTCCTGTGGTCTGTGGCCCCAGCAACTTGAACAAAAACTTGAAAACGCCTTCGCTGTGAGCAATTTTATCCTTAGAGTAGATGTCCCCACTAGACTAAGCCCCAGAGCCAGTTAAGCCCCACTTTTTTTGTAACCGTCATAACTTTCCGCCAAAAACATGGAACTCCATTTTTTTTTTTTTAATTTGAAAAGCACACCGTTAGCTTGCGTTTGAGCATCTGTACGCACGAATCAGCTGCGCCACACTCTCCCTTCTTCCCCTCGCTCCTCGACAAGCTTTTGCTTAGACATGGGTTGTAGTGAAGGGGGGGGTCTTTCTGGCGAGCAGGGCTAGACTCACCCTCNCTGTAGTCGAACGGTGAGACGGACGTGTAGTTCAGTTTTGGGCACGCGTACGGTGCTGCAGGGATTATATATAGGTGTAGACTAGTAGTACTAAGTCTAGTACCTCTTCGGGCTCTTGTACACCTTTTTCTTGCTACGTGTGCGTGTTCTTTAGATCCTCAGATGGCTCCAGCACTTTCGTGACCACGGGCCGAGAGTCTTTGCTAGATTTTGGCATTTAGCAACTGGCATACGGTTTAATGTGAAGTCAACAACAACAACAACAACAACAACTCCCGAGATACAGCGCCACAACCACCACCGTCGGCGGATACTGCAAGGTTGTCGTTTTGACCGCTCCTTTTGCTTAGGATGGTCAGGTCTAAGGTGGACCCAGAGCAGGCGCAGAAGGCCATCGAGGCTGTCCGCAGCGGCGCAATGTCTCTCCGGGCTGCTGCACTGCCCTATGGCGTGAACAAGCGCTCTCTCTCTCGCCGGCTGAGCGGTGATGTAAGCATGGATGCAAAGGTTGGTCCAAGGACTGTGCTCACAGTCGAGGAGGAAAATTTTGTTGAAGATGCACTGCTGTNACCCAGAGCAGGCGCAGAAGGCCATCGAGGCTGTCCGCAGCGGCGCAATGTCTCTCCGGGCTGCTGCACTGCCCTATGGCGTGAACAAGCGCTCTCTCTCTCGCCGGCTGAGCGGTGACGTCAGCATGGATGCAAAGGTTGGTCCAAGGACTGTGCTCACAGTCGAGGAGGAAAATTTTGTTGCTGGAAGATGCACTGCTGTAAGCTGCTCGTCACTTCATCGGGATCGACCGGACCGCGCTGCAAGAACATGTGCGCCAGCTGTGCAACGACGGTCGGGATATCCCGTGGGATGCAGCAGTCGGCCCGGGGCGATCATGGCTAGACGGCTTCTTCAAGAGGCATCCTGGGCTGTCAGAACGCAGCGCCCGCATCTACGAGGCCAACAGAATCATGAGTGACGACGAGACTCGCCTGCAGACGTTCTACAAGGACTTTGGCGAGTTCGTTGACAAGGAAAAGATCCCTGCCGATCACCTGTGGAACACAGATGAGACAGGTGAGGTCCNCGCAGCGGCGCAATGTCTCTCCGGGCTGCTGCACTGCCCTATGGCGTGAACAAGCGCTCTCTCTCTCGCCGGCTGAGCGGTGACGTCAGCATGGATGCAAAGGTTGGTCCAAGGACTGTGCTCACAGTCGAGGAGGAAAATTTTGTTGAAGATGCACTGCTGTACGCTGCTCGTCACTTCATCGGGATCGACCGGACCGCGCTGCAAGAACATGTGCGCCAGCTGTGCAACGACGGTCGGGATATCCCGTGGGATGCAGCAGTCGGCCCGGGGCGATCATGGCTAGACGGCTTCTTCAAGAGGCATCCTGGGCTGTCAGAACGCAGCGCCCGCATCTACGAGGCCAACAGAATCATGAGTGACGACGAGACTCGCCTGCAGACGTTCTACAAGGACTTTGGCGAGTTCGTTGACAAGGAATAGATCGCTGCGGATCACCTGTGGAACACAGACGACACAGGTGAGGTCCGCATAGAAAGGTGTTGCTGATGGATCTAAGCAGTAGGCAAGGGCTGCAGCAGTGCTGTAGTGCGCGGTGCAGCTGCGCGGCAACTTGCTAGCAGCAGGCGGAGTTGTGCCGATATTTTTTTTCATTGTGGATCGTTGGATCCGCCCTCTGCAACCCCACACCCCTGCAAGATCTATTCCACCACTGCTGTAGACTAGACTAACGCGCACGGTTGACATACACCACCACAGCAGTAGCACATGCCCCCTCCCCTTTCCCCGGCGCTCACTGCTGTGTTACCGTACGCTCGAAGTCACTCGAGTTATAGCAAGAGGGACGGCGGCATGGGGTGTGTGTTGGGGATGAAACAGAAACCTAGACGGGTTTGGCTGTGTGTCGCACTCTAGCGCAAGCGTGTGTATGTTCGTATGCGGCTGCGCCTCTTTTCTGATGTGATTATTCTCTATCGCCGACAGATGTAGCCGTAGTCTAGTCTCTTCGCCCTTTGCCGATACCCCCTGGCTTACAATGCTGTCGTCCGCGTCCTCTGTAGAAATAGTACANTGTATGTTCGTATGCGGCTGCGCCTCTTTTCTGATGTGATTATTCTCTATCGC